AAAAAAAAAAAAAAAGGGATATAATTCCTTTATGTTTCATAAATTTCAATGACACTAAAAAAATAACGTTATGATATGTCATAATATTTCGCGCGGTATGTCATCGGTCTGTAAAAGGTTAGTTTTTAAAAAGAGCTGACCAAAACAACTGTGGCTACTAAAGACATCAGACACAACAATTAGTATTTAGTATATTGTCATTTCGTATGCAGCTTTGGTTTAGGGTAGTTGCATCGTAATGTATTATAAATGCGGAGGGACGTGCAAAAACCACTGAGGACGTAAAGAAACGCTGGCAGTGACCACCCTCAGTGCCTACGACTTCATACTAACCATCTCTCATGCTTGTAAATTGCATAAAAGCAATCTGTCATTCACTTCTCAATGTAAAGCGCCTTTGATTATATTCATATAGAAAAGGCGCTATATAAATTCATAAATCATTATCATTATCATTATTTGCACTAAATATAGAAGTGCTCTCTGACTATAATGAACTGATATTAGGCAAGGCATTACTTGAGCCAAGTAAGACACGCATTAAATATGCCAGTCTTACCTTTAAATCCAGCTATCTTTTAATCCAATGAAACCTCACAAAAAGACAGCTTGACTCTAGTAAAGGACTGAATAAGGCAGCTAGAGGATGTTCGCTTCGTACATATGTACACAGGATTCACTGAAGGGCAGTTTTACCGTCTGTCGCCTAATCAACCTTCTTCGCGGGTGGGGTACCATTATAGTTATAACACTTCCTTTCAAGCCGAACTTTGGCACGCATTATGTTCGGTTGTGGCACGAATTGACACTAGGCATTACATTACACACAGTATTCTCTTCATTTCCCCAGTGATATTTTCAAACTACATGAACTTTCTTCATATTTTTTTCATCGCGCGCAGACTAATGCGCTTTTCATTTAGTTTCGTTCCATTATCCTAATCCTTTTCTTCTCTAAAGGGATTTGAAACGTTCCTTTAATTCGTATCCTTTTAGGCAAATGTACCGCTACTTCTTTTTTGTAATTTACCTGATTTTACAGCTTATTGGTAGTCTCAAATACTTAATTGCCCCTATCTTCACCATGTTATCTGAAGCCCCCAAGCCTTGGGTTTGCCGGAAATCGAAGGCCGAAATTGAGTGAAAAGGCGGCGTGGTGGGTAATAGGATCATTTTCGCATGTTTCTGCATGTTCATCTGATATTAAGGCCAACCTTGAAATGGATATTAAAAGCATGACAAATCTAGAACCTCACCAAGAGATCACTGACGTCATAGGAGCAGGGTATGGTTGCTATTATAACAGATTAGATTACGTCACGCAGGTGCAGATGTAGGAGGGGGGTTGTTAGAATGGTTCGTACTCACCCCCTAAACCACGATTGAACCCGCTAAATGACATCTATAAACTCCCTAATAGGCAACTTGCATTATAGCGTCATTAAATACCACTACCACACTTTCTTT